GTGGTGGGTGGCATGGTGGTAGTTGATAATGGTAGGCGGTGGCGGCAGTTAATAATGAATATGAATGATAACATCTTAATGAAATTAAGTCTCTGTTATAAATCTTAATGATACAGACCTATTCAGACCCATTAAGTGATTGTGAAGTAAAAAAACAAAACACACTTAACGATTAAGATCTGAATAATTAAGATTCAGACTTTAAAAACAAACGAACTTAATGTCCGAGATGTGAATGATTAAGATTCATACCTCCATTAAGTGCAAACAAATGAGGCCTTAGCCTCCCCAGACCCCACAATGTGGCGTAACACTGGGTATATTGTTGTGGAGTCCACTAAAAACATAGACTCAACTAACTATAAGAACCTATAAAAACCGCTTCTTCCACCCTGAAATCAAGTGAAAATATACCTTATGCCAAGGGTGTGCTTTGATTTGTGGAAACCTAAAGTCGGTGTAATTTGGATTCATACAGCGAATTTCCTCCCTCGTTGGTGTTCCAAGTACCTGGAAATTGAAGCAAGTGAACAACAATCGTACACAAATATTTACATCGGATTTACAATTATTCAAGCTGTACCTTGATTATCTCAACAAGCTGATCAACAGCGTTTTCTCCAGGAAATAATGGCTATAAAAAGTAAAGCATAATTAGTTAAAAGTCAGGCTAATGTAGAACTATGGAATATGAAAAACCTCATATATTATACTTGAGCAAGGAAAAAAGAAAATAGATCATTACAAACCTGGCCGAGGAGAAGTTCGGCAAGGACACAGCCAGCCGACCAGATATCAATAGAGGTAGTATACTCTGTTGCGCCAAATATGAGTTCAGGAGCCCGATAAAACCTCGAACAGATGTATGAGATGTTTGCTTCACCTTTAACCTGATGAATGTTTTACTCAATACGGTCACAAGTACATAAACCTCAATTTGTAAATGTAGCAGTTTTTAAGAAACCATAGAGGTGTTCTCTTAGAAGATGCAAGTTTCTCCATGACCATATGCCCGAAAAAGTTGAAGAAAGCTATTACATTATATAGTAAGCAGGAATCAAGTCAACTAAACATTGGTTTCAAAATGGTATCATGCAGAAAACGCTTAAATCTAAAGGTTCTTTCCAAGCCAATTGACAAGTGGCACATTATCGTAGAGAGTTTTGGCAGGCACATAAAATTCCCTTGAATCATTTCCCTCAATCAACAATAGGACGTTGTCAGATAATGAGAGATGCCAAACCAGGCGATTGTAATGTTCATGAAAGTGTGGCATCCGCACCATTGTTTGTTTAGAACAAATTGAATAGCAGCTTGCCAGCTTGATTCAATAGCAAACTACAATTAACTTTTTTTTTTTTATTTGGAGAATGGAAACAGACTTCAATTAACTCATTCCTGGAGTGAGTAAACTTGAAGATGCAATGGCTGAAAACAGCAACAAACCAACCAAGACGTGCATGTAGAGAACTTCATTCTCACAGACAACAGTTTGGTAAACAGGATCTTCCCCCAAGAGAGATAGCATGTTGGGCGAAAGTTCAAACAAGAAGTATGCGAACTCCATATGGTATATTTCAATGATATTTAGAAAGTAAAAATATTAAACAAGGATCGCTTTTCTAAATTAACACAAAAAACATTTTGACAAAAATTTGGAGTAACAATGTTCATGTAAGGGAAAATATCCAGGCTCAAACCATTCATTCACGTATGTTAAAAATAGAACTCAATAGGTTAGAGTTACATATAAAAAACATGAACAACAGTCAGCAGTCCTCCTCCTCCTTACGAGGCAAGGATAAATAAGGAAAAGGGGAAAAGGATTCCTATGTTGTTCGGACTCTCCGAAAAATGTCTCTGGGTGCATGTCAGATCCTCCAAAAGTAGTGTACTTTTGGAGAATCCGACAAGAGTGCAACAATGTTTTGGAGAGTCCGCACAACATAGAAAGATTCCACGGAAGGTACATATGAATAGCCACGGAGATGCACTCTTATGATTAAGACTTACCAGCACTTTTGCACTTCCAAAATCACAAATTTTAACTTGGTGAGTAACAGGGTCTACCTGTGGAAACAAAATAATGATATCAAAAGATGAAGGACCACAATGTCTAGCTGAAATAGTGACGTGGAAGACGCATTACCAAAATATTCTGAGGTTTCAAATCTCTGTGGCAAACGCCAGCCACTGTGTGCATGTATGCCAGCCCCCTAAATACCTGAACGCATCTCTCTTAATATAGCTCATGATTACGAAGAAAAGTCCTGCTCAAGAAAGTACGTCACTTACTTGATAAGTATAAAGCTTAACATAGATGAGTGGCATTCTTTGGTTCGCATTGCTGTAATGCTTCAACATGCGGTACATGGTTTCCGGAACATATTCCATGACTAAATTGAGAAAAAGCTCGTTTTTACTAGTAGTTGAATAGAAGCAATGCTTTAAACAAACAACATTCGAGTGCTCCATTGTGCGCATTAACTGCAGTTCACGATTCTTGTATCTACGATCTTGTAAAACCTTCTTTATCGCCACAGTCTCCCCGTTTTCCAGGCATTTTGCCTACAAAAGACAGGGTTTTAGTCAACCACACAAGTCAAGAAATGTTGCAGCAATTAGTGAAATAAATAAGATGTGTGCTCACTTGCCTGAAAAACAACTCCAAATGATCCAGTCCCCACGACACGTTCAGCCATGTAACTGACTGTCTGCAACAAATTATTCAGCAAGCCAAACACATCTTCAATTTCAGGTTTTAATGAAGAAGCATAACTATTTCTAACCAATAAATATTCATGAATCCACAAAGACATCATTTTTACCTGCTTTGGCTCGCCATTCTTCCCTCCGATGGTAGTGGAAATTATATGACCAGTGACTGCACCATTCACATCCATAACAGGAGCAGACATCTCCTACAGTCCACATCAAATATATATCTCAGACAAGCGACTTCTAAAACCGATACAACATTATCCAACCAAAAACAAGAAAGATCACAACCCACCAAAGGTATCATTGGGGAAGCATAAGCCACACAAACTTAACAATCCTAAATATGAAGCATGGGATATGGACAAATCTGGTAATTGCTATTAGAAACCAATGGGTGACTAGATATACCTTTTTTTAATAATCGAAAAATCCTCGAGGGTAAGTGGCGCACGGATCGAAACTCGGTCAATAATGGGTTCGTCCCTCTACTCTTCCCTACTTAAATACCATGCTTTTGTGTGCGGCAGGATTTAACTCGTGATGTGCGCCTAATCCACACATCACAAGCTATGCTCTTACCATTAGACCAAAGCCTTAGGGGGCTGGGTGACTATATATATTTATATAAACCATATTAAAGAACCTCAACAAGAAATGATTTAGACAAGCTTACAGTTATTTTGGATCAAGTCAAACATTTAATAGGTACACATTCTTGAAAGCAATAGGCATCCCCATAAGGCTTAAATAAGATCAGGTCAACTATCATAAGTTAAATATCTAAAACACTACCAGATCAGAAAATGCAAAATTATGAGTGCACAAAATTGCTATTTTGAGACACAGAAAAAGTGGTCAACAAGCTCATAACAAGATAAAGATTTCATTTTTAATTTAAGATTCAAGAAAATCTAAAAAATACACAAACAAGCAAATATATTACCTCCTTTAAAATGCTCAAATATTAACTCAGCTAACACTACACCAAGATTTGCAATCAAGAACCACAGCAACAAAAAAAAATTATACCCACTAAAATTATCTTGACAAGTAAAGTACTGAACTTTTTGTACATAGAAAAAAAACCCAGAAAGCAAAATGGCTACCTTATCATCAGCCATAATTTTCCAGCTCCAAATGAAAAAAAAAAAAGGGAAAGAAGAAATGAGGAGGAAGAAGAAGAAGATGAAGAAGAAAGAGAATTATTTTCTTCAGTCCACACTTTAACTTTATGATTCAAAGCTAATAATTGTCGGTTGAATTAAGAGAGAGAGAGGTGGGACCCGTCAGCTAAAACAGCATCCCATGTGAATACAGCTCTTCCTCTTGTGGTTTTTCTCCTTCCTCTCTGTCTATCTTGCTTTCTGGTTTCTGGATATCTGTTTAGGCCCCTGGAGTTTTAGGTAATTACCAATTTGTTATTAATTTATCAAATTTTATCTTAAACAGATAATTGAACTTTTAGTCCCTATGTTACTGGTAAATTTCGATTTTGATACTTATAATAATATTTAACTAAGCGTATTTAACTTTCAATTAACTAAAATATGCGTGTTTTTTATCGCCTTGTTCAGAAAATATGGGATAATTACATTTTTTGTCCCTTAGTTATTGATGAATTCTTATTTTGGTTCTTGTAATATTTGGCTAAGCGCATTTAACATTCAGTTTACTAAAATTTGTGTCCTTAATCTATGATAAGTTACGTGTTTTTTTATATTTTGATGATCTAACAAACTTTATAATAAGAATCAGATCGGGAACCTGTTACACATCCTCAAAGTGCTAAAAAACAACAAGTCTCAAGCCGGGCACAAATTCCAACAACTAGAGTCAAAGAGACGACATTAGTTCCCTTGCTGACTGTATCAGACAACTCCCCACGGCTATAAAGTCGCTGCAATTGTTCCTCTGCACACATACAACAGTGCAAACAATGCAACAGTCACTTTATGGGGAATGCCTTGTACCGGATAATTGCTTGCATCATCCAAGTGACATCACTTGTATATTATCAACATG